GGGAAGCTGAAGACTGGTCCCGAGGGGTCCCAGGGCCCAGAAAAAAACGGGGTGCCAGCCAGGCTTGGCACCGAGAAGGCGCGGGGAGCAGGGAGGTCTGGGGAGAGTACTGGAGACCTGGCACTCTCCATCCCCAGGCCCCTGAGCAGCCAGAAGCCAAGGGGGCCCTGCGGGGGGCAGTGGCCTTGGGCACGAGCAGCCTAAAGCAACAGGAACCTGGGCTCCTGGGGGACCCTGGGGCCCGAGTCTACTCCTCCCACTCCATGGGGGCCCGGGTGGACCTGGAGCCTGTCTCGCCGAGGAGCTGCCTCACCAAAGTGGAGCTGGCCAAGAGCCGGCTGGCAGGGGCCCTGTGTCCCCAGGTACCCCGCACCCCTGCCAAAGTACCAACCTCAGCCCCCAGCCTGGGCAAGCCCAGTAAGAGCCCCCACGGCAGCCCGACAAAGCTACCTTCCAAGTCACCTACCAAGGTGGTGCCCCGACCTGTGGCCCTGCCAGCCACCAAGGAGCCCCCCAAGCCTGACAAGGGGAAGGGCCCACCATGGACAGACTGTGGTAGCACCATGGCTCAGCCCACACCCTCAGCACCTGGCCCGGCTGACCCAAGCCAGGGTCCTGAGGGGCGTGCCCTACACTCGGCCATTGAGGAGAAGGTGATGAAGGGCATCGAGGAGAATGTACTGCGGCTCCAGGGTCAGGAGCGGGCACCAGGCACCGAGGCTAAGCACCGAAACACTAGCAGCATCGCCAGCTGGTTTGGCCTTAAGAAGAGCAAGCTGCCAGCACTAAACCGCCGCACAGAGGCCACCAAGAGCAAGGAAGGGGCCAGCGGGGGCTCCCCGCTCCGGAAGGAGGTAAAGGTAGAAACCCGGAAGCTGGAGGCAGAGAGCCTCAACATCTCCAAGCTGATGGCTAAGGCAGAGGATTTGCGCCGGGCGCTGGAGGAGGAGAAGGCCTACCTGAGCAGCAGGGCCCGGCCGCGGCCCGGGGGACCAGCACCAGGGCCCACTGCAGGGCTGGGGCAGGTCCAGGGCCAGCTGGCTGGCATGTACCAGGGCGCGGACACCTTCATGCAGCAGCTGCTCAACAGGTGAGGGCCTGGGACCAGTCGCAGGTGCTTGGTGACTGAGGACCCTTGTCTCTCCACGGGTACAGCAGAGACTGGCTGGGAACGCTTGGCCTGGGAGCTTAGGCTTCGCAGAGGTCAGAAGGGGTCAGAGATCAAGCAAAATGCTACCAAAATATTGGGGGGTTAGCGGCCTGACCAAGAGGAAAGATGGGGTGTTTGTTCCCCAGTTCCCCGCCTCTCTGGCTGATATCAGGCTTGCTGAGACCCAGTTTCTCATTTGGGAAGAGGGAACAGTCCACACTTTCCTGGGTCATCTCCGGTGTCGGGTGAGGCAGCCAACCTAAATGCCTGCACACAGCAGTCAAAGAGATGCTAGTTCCTGGCCATGGCCTGATGAAGTCTCACTCTGGGGTTTCCCATTCTATAGAACAGGGGTGGTGAACATCCAGCCCAAGGGCTGTATAAGGCCCATGAAATCATTTGGCCTGGCCCTGCCAAGGCATTAAGGGTGAGTTAATTAAATGTTTGACCAAATATAGCAGGATAATTTGTTGTTGTCAATCCTTACCCAGGGATATTTTCCCATTGATTTTTAGAGAGAATGGAAGGGAGGGGGAGAGGCAGAGAGAGAAATATCGATGTGAGAGAGACATCGATTTGTGCCTCATGTAGGGCCGGGGATCAAGCCTGCAACCAAGGCACATGCCCTTGACCAGAATTGAACTGGGACTCTTCAGTTCTATCCACTGAGCCAAACTGGCTAGAATTTTTCAGTTGATAATTTTGTGTGGCCCGCGAATAATGTTATAAATGTCCAAATGGCTCTTGGCAGAAAAAGGGTACCCCACTCCTGCTATAGAACAAAGGGGGGTCTCCTTCCCATCTTGTCCTTTGGCATCTGCCGCAGACCCAGCAATGGGAGCTGTGGTTTACAGAGTGGCCTCCCACGCTTGGGGTTGCTCTCTCTGGGCCAGGTTAAGGCAGAATGTCTGCAGGAATTGGGCCCCAGGTCTGGTGTGATTTGGACAGCAAATTCAGCTGGGCCAGGCTGGGTGTGTTGTGTGGGCCAGGATGTGACCAGGTTTGCCATTTATCTGACAACATTGTAGCGTGGTCTCTAACCTTGACTCTGGGTAATTTTGGGAGAGTTCTCCCATCTTCCCAGCCCCTGCTATCCCTCTGGGGTTCCTCTAGGGCAGTGGTCGGCAAACTGCGGCCCCTTGAGTGTGGCTCTTCCACAAAATACCACGTGCGGGCGCGCACATACAGTGCGATTGAAACTTCATGGCCACACTCAAGGGGCCAAAGAGCCACATGTGGCTCGCGAGCCGCAGTCTGCCGACCACTGCTCTAGGGTCTCTGCCAGTTCCCTTGTCAGAAGGGATTGTTGTGGGCAACCACCAGGGATATGTCCCCTTCCCCAGGGATGGGGGCCGGGGGGGTGGTGTCTCACTAGACTAGACCCACACCATTGGTGGGAGCAAGGCCTCCCTCATCTCCTTCTGCACTGTTGCCCCTAGGGTGGATGGCAAGGAGCTGCCACCCAAGAGCTGGAGGGAGCCCAAACCCGAGTATGGTGACTTCCAGCCAGTGTCCTCTGACCCCAAGAACCCCTGGCCAGCCTGTGGGCCCCGAAATGGCCTGGTGGGCCCTCTTCAGAGCTGCGGGAAACCTGGGAAGGTAAGTTCTTGGGACGAGGGCTGGGTGGAGGGCTGGGCTCTTGGTCCTGTCAGACCTCTTAACCCTGGAGGGCTCCCCTCCCTGAGGCCTGGAAGCTGCTGAATGCATTTCGGGTGGGGGGTGGGAGGTGCTGGGAAGGGGAGAGGACCTCCTGAGGGCTGGAAGGCTTTGGGCACTCTCAGATCCATACTTCAGGGGTGCTAATGATGCGGCTAGGAGAGGGGTTTGGGGTAGGGGACGAATGTGCTCAGAGGTCTCCTGTTGCCCACAGCCAAGCAGCGAGCCAGGACGGCGGGAAGAGATGCCTTCAGAGGTCAGCCTGGCCGAGCCAGTGCCCACCTCACACTTCACAGGTCAGTAGATCAAGGGCCAAGAATAGGACTTTACCCCTTCCTGTCACTGCAGCAGATGCCAGGCCCTGAGTGCCATATTGGTACCAATCACCAGGCGGGCCCTGGGGCTGCACAGAAATATCACTTCTTACACTCAGGGTACCTGCCACCCTTCTCCAAACCTCGGGAAGGTGGGACAGGGTAGGCAGGGACCACCTAGCCTGTTGGGCCTGGGGGGGCCTGGACCAGGGGTGGAGCCTAGGTTGGGGCAGGAAGCTGGAAGAAGGCAGAGTGGATGAGCCACCTGCAGCCTCACATTCATGACTTACCCTCCCCTCCCCCAGCCTGTGGCTCCTTGACTCGAACCCTGGACAGTGGCATTGGGACCTTCCCGCCCCCAGACCATGGCAGCAGTGGGACTCCCAGCAAGAATCCTCCCAAGACCAAGCCACCACGGCTGGAGCCCCCACCGGGGGGGCCCCCAGCACGGCCACCACCCCTTACCAAAGTCCCCCGCCGCGCCCACACGCTGGAGCGTGAGGTGCCAGGCATCGAGGAGCTGCTGGTGAGCGGGCGGCACCCCAGCATGCCGGCCTTCCCCGCACTGCTCACTGCTGCTCCCGGCCACCGGGGCCATCAGACCTGCCCTGACGGTGAGTGTCTGCACAGGTGGGTGGGCTGTCCCTGTACTCCACCCACCACCACCTCCTTCCCCTTGTCACCACATAGATCCCTGTGAAGACCCAGGACCTCTCCCTCCTGTCCAGCTGGCCAAAAACTGGACCTTCCCCAATGCCAGGGCAGCCGGTGGCTCCACTGACCCTTTCCTGTGCCCACCCCGACAATTGGAGGGGCTGCCCAGGACCCCCATGGTGAGCATGGTGGGAGGGGAAAGGGCATAAGACTGGCGGGCAGGGGGGTAAGGGAGAGACCAGTGTTTCCTGTGAGGTACAGCCCTTCCTGGAGGAGGACGGAGTGGAGAGCCCCTTGGGTGCCCTTCTGAGCAGCCCACCCACCTCCCTTTTTTTTTTTTTAATACGTTTTTATTGATTTCAGAGAGAAAAGGGAAAGGGGGGGAGAGAGAGAGAGAGAGAGAGAGAGAGAGAGAGAGACGTCAGTGATGAAAAAAACCATTGATCAGCTGCCTCCTGCCCCCTTCATGGGATCGAGCCCGCAACCTGAGCACATGCCCTGACCAGGAATCGAACTGTGACCTCCTGGTTTATGGGTTTACACTCAACCACTGAGCCACACTGGCCAGGCCCCATCTCTCTTCTTACACCTCTCCGGAAAGGGTTTCTGTCCTTCCACAGAACCGTGGTAGGGCTGTGCTCAGTCATGCCTCCAGCCAGCTTCCTCTGCGGGCACCCTCCGTGGTGGGCCCCGTCTGCAGAGCCCCCATGCCCGGGGCAGAGCCCAGGCTTTCAGGCAGGGCCAGGGGGTGAGAGAGCTTCCTCCTGAGCCTCCCTTCCTTTCCCAGGCCCTGCCTGTGGACCGGAAGCGGAGCCTGGAGCGCAGCCGCCCAGCCACTGCCACGCCCCCGGGCCCGGCGTTTGGGGGTAGCCGCACTCCCAGCACATCGGACATGGGTGAGGAAGGCAGAGTGGCCAGTGGGGGCCCCCCAGGGCTGGAGACCTCCGAGTCTCTCAGCGACTCGCTCTACGACTCGCTCTCCTCCTGTGGGAGTCAGGGCTGAGGAGCTGCACCTCGGCCCCTCTCAGACACAGCCTGGACTGGCTCTCCTCGGGCCCAGCCCCCTCGGGGCCCTGCGGCTCCTCCCTGCAGGGACCAAAGAGGCAGATGGACCAGAAGGCGAAGGGGGCGCCTGGCACCCCCCCTGCCCTCCGCTGCTGTGGAGGAGATGACCACTCTCAGCTCAGGGAGAGACCCCACCTTTGGTCCTTCCTCTCACCCAGAGTCAGGCTCTTCCTCTGAGGGACTGGGTTCCAGGCCGCTGCCCCAGCCCTAGCTCCTACTTCAGGCTGAGCCATCCCGTGGTGCTGGGCTTCCTGCCCGCCGGCTGTGCCATCTCCGCCAACCTGGCCGCTCCCTGCCCCCAGCCCCTACGGGGCCAGCCGGAGGCCCCGCGCTGGTGGAGTTTGGGGGCGAGGGGTCAAGTTGCCTTCTCTCTCATCTGCCCTGGTCCTCCTTGCTGTCTGGATGGTGCTGCCCTCCCCTGTCCCATGTCTTTGGGTCATTTGTCAGTCTTTTTGTTGTTGTTTTTTTATACATTAAAGCACCTGGCCCAATCCCCACTCCCCACCCTCATCCCGCACTGCGGTTAATTTATCTGTCGTTATAAATGCGGCTGCTCTGCTTCCAGCCTCTGCTTCTGCAGTATCCCTAATAAAACATGAAGGCCCCGCTGTACCCCCGACTCAGCTTGTTCTGTGGGAGGACTCAGGGATGGACAAGTGGGTGGAGACTGTGGGCACCAGGGGGAGGGGGTGTGGGTGAGACTGTCTTAGGCGCCCTGTGAAGCAACCCATCTTCCAGGGGATCTGGCTGGGGTCACCTAGAATTGAGGGACTGGGGTCTGCTTAGGCCTGGGTTGGGGAGAGTGCCCTGGTCCAGGGCTTGGGCAGGGTAGCCGTGGGCAGGCACTTAAACCCCGTACACATGAAATGAGGTAGGCCCTCCAAATTCTGAGCTCCAGGGGCTGGAGGGTAAGCAGGGTTAAGTGTCTGTTGTCTCCTGTTACCATAAAGGGAGGCAACTGGATCCCAAACTGTTGCCACCTTCTAATTTTTCCTCAGATCTTGGGCTTTCCCAGATCATGCCTCTGTTCTACCTCATTTCAACCAGCAGTTCCCATGGCTCTCAAATCTCACTTTCGGAAGGGGAGGCCAGGAATGAGGCTGTGCAGAAGGGACTTCCAGGAGTTCTTTCAGACTCCACATGGCATGAGGACAGAGGGTGGTTGCCGCCCTCCAGCTCTTGGATTTCCTGTTGGGCCTGGAGCTGGGCAATGATCTGAAGGTGAACCAGGTGGCATCCAGCTCATCTCACATTGGTCAGCTCCTGCCCACCTGGTTGCGAGGTGCAGGGTGAGTCTTCCGCGCGCCTGCCTGACATAGCCTACACGTGCTGCCTCCTGTGGCATACAGTCTGGAGGCCGCCTGGGCGGTATCATGCTCGGTACTCCTGGCCTGGAGGCTGGGACTCTAGACACTTCGTCGTGGGCATGGGGCCGTCGGAGACATGTGGTGTATTGACACCACAGTTGAGCCAAGGTCAGGGCGTAGTGCTGGGCACGTTCACAACTCAGTTATACTGTGGACACTGTCCTGGGCGCTGACGAGCCCAGGAGGATTGGGAGTGCGGAGGGTGCGGCACCTCCTTTCACACTAGCTCCTTCCAGCGGTCTCTCCAGCCTAATGCTCCAGAGAGAGGGGTAAAAAGAATTCCCCATTAAAGTAAACACCTACCGTATTGCTAGCCCTCTGATCCCTAGCCCCCAGCAGAGCCCAGCTGGGGGAAGCACCGTCATCCTCATTTCACAGATGAGACTTCCAGGCTCAGAAACGCCATGGTTGCCCAAGGCTGAGAAGTGATGGAGCCCTGAGAGAGTAGCTCCTTTTTGGGTGTGTGGCTTTGCTTTCTTCTGGACTTTAATCTCCTCTTCCTTTTCTGGCCTGTGGATCCCTCCTGATGTACCGGGGTGGAGAGCAATGGACTGGAAGTCAAGGGTTTTAGCCACTAAGTCTGGTTTTACGGGGAGAGTTGCCTTCCTTCTCCAGGCCTTGGTTTTCCTTACCTACAGAGGATTAGGAGAGTGAGCCAACCAGCTGGTCCCATTAGCTCTGCTCTTCCTACCCTCTCCCTCAATCTGGCCTCTCTCCTATTTCCCTTAGTTTATGTCATCATTGACGAAATTAATAAGAGTTAGAAAAAGGTCAAGTCAAATGTCTCGGTTTTCTTTTTTTTTTTTTAATATATTTTATTGATTTTTCACAGAGAGGAAGGGAGAGAGACAGGGAGTCAGAAACATCGATGAGAGAGAAACATCGATCAGCCGCCTCCTGCACATCTACGGGGGATGTGCCCGCAACGCAGGCACACGCCCCCGACCGGAATCGAACCCGGGACCCTCCAGTCCGCAGGCCAACGCCCCATCCACTGAGCCAAACCGGCTTCGGCTCGGTTTTCTTTAAATATCAGAATCCTGCACTTGCTAGTGTAGCTCAGTTGGTTGGAGTGGAATCCCATAGACCAGAAGGTGGCGGTGTGATTTCCGGTCAGGGTACATACCTGGGTTGTGGGTTTGATCCTCAGTCGGGGTGCATGTGGGAGGCAGCTGAGCAGTGCCTCCCTCCCTCTCTCTCGCCAATCAATAAAGACATCATCGGGTGAGGATTAAAAATATATATGTTAAAGCCCTAGCCAGTTTGTCTCAGTGGTTAGTGTCGGCTTGCAGACTGAAGGGTCTAGGGTTCAATTCCGATCAAGGGCATGTACCTTGGTTGCAGGCTCAATCCATGCCCCCTCCCACTCCCACCCCCACCCCAAAATCAGGGCACGTGCAGGAGGCAACCAAACTATGTGTCTCTTTCACATCAATGTTTTTCTCTCCTTTTCCCTTCTACTCTCTCTAAAAGTAATGAAAAAAATATCCTCGGTGAGGATTAACTATATATATCAGAATCCCATTTTCTTACTTCCATCTTCTACTTTCAGGTTCCTATCCCACTATGCCTTCTGCTTTTATGGGCTTAAGTATGATATTACAAGCTGCAAATTTCTGCTTCTTGCCAGGCGGGCTCAAAGAAGTCTACATCATCCTTCTCCTAACTTGCTATTTCTTGGTTTTTCATGACCTTTTGACCCTAATGGATTACATCATTGCCTTGTTAGAACAGAATTGTTGGCCTGCAGGATATTTATCCTATTTCCTTTCAGGAAAGAAGGGTCTGACTCTGGATTCCACCTCTTACAAGCTGAGACCAATGGGTGCATCCATGTTTGTGTCACAGGGGTCTGGTCAGTCTGCTACCAGGTTCTGTTCTCCAGGGCTTGTAAATGCAAGGTGCCACCTTGTCCCTGGGGCAGTGTGGGCTGACTGGGAAAATGACTGTCAGTCACCAAAGCAGGGTGGCATCAGCCATATCTGGAGCCAGCTCTTCTCCACTAACTGTTCCAAGGTGGGCAGCTCGTGTTCCTAAGTCCTCCATCATGCTCCTAAGCCATCCTGCAGCCCTCATAACTGTGTGCCCGCCACACAGACCAGATACTCCATCTGAAGTAATTCTGTGGAGGGGGACAGTAATTCTGTGGAGGGGGACACACAGGTGAGATTTCTCCTTGTACTTCAAGGCTGAAAGACCACTTGGTCCTCACTGTGCAGAGCACTGCGTACCTCAGTTTGCAAAGTGTGCTTCCAGGATAAGGTGACCTCAGTGCTTTCTCCATGAACAGTGGGTGAATGTTTGCTTCATCACTCAGGGTGACCCTTTCTTCTGGATTTCCCAGACAGGGAAGCCCAAACTGCCAGCCCCCCTTACTCCCATCCCCCCAAATGACATCAAGGCATCAGCAAAAGACTACAAAAGCTTTCAGGTTCTGCCTCACTGTGAACCCTGCCTTTTATAGGAATGTCCCACAATGTTCATTGAGGTTTCATCTGGGTTGCCAGTGGTTTTTATTTTCTTCTTTACCCCTTTCTAGATTCATATGTTTTGTTTTCTTTTTTAAAAAATATTTTTAATTGATTTTTTAAAGTATTTTTGATTTGAGAGAGAGAGAGAGAGAGAGAGAGAGAGAGAAACATCAATGATAAAGAACCATTGAGCCCTAACCGGTTTGGCTCAGCGGATAGAGCGTCGGCCTGCGGACTCAAGGGTCCCGGGTTCAATTCCGGTCAAGGGCATGTGCCTTGGTTGCGGGCACATCCCCAGTGGGGAGTGTGCAGGAGGCAGCTGATCGATGTTTCTCTCTCATCGATGTTTCTGGCTCTCTATCCCTCTCCCTTCCTCTCTGTAAAAAATCAATAAAATATATTTTTTTTAAAAAATCATTGGCCGAAACCGGTTTGGCTCAGTGGATAGAGCATCGGCCTGTGGACTGAAAGGTCCCAGGTTCGATTCCAGTCAAGGGCATGTACCAGGGTTGCGGGCACATCCCCAGTAGGAGATGTGCAGGAGGCAGCTGATCGATGTTTCTCTCTCATCGATGTTTCTAACTCTCTATCTCTCTCCCTTCCTCTCTGTAAAAAATCAATAAAATATATTTTTTTTAAAAAATCATTGATCGGCTGCCTCCTGCACAGCCCCTACTGGGGATCGGACTCGAAACCCGGGCATGTGCTCTGAAAGGGAATCGAACTGGTGACCTCTTGGTGCATGGGTCATGCCCAAACACTGAGCCATACCAGCCGGGCATCAAATCATTTTTTTAAATACACACACAGCATGTTTATGTCGACCTTTTATTAGACAATGAGATTATTCTGCAGTTATTGACCTGCTTCTTTCAGCACTTAGTATGTCTTGGAGATCTTCCCAAAGCCCATGAAGCTCCATGATCATACACGGTCTTCCGTTGTATGGATTCGCCATGTTTATTTCTTTTGCCAAGACAAACAATGCTGCAGTGGACATTGCATATGTGTCTTTGTCCACTTGTGTATTTGCATAAGAATAATTCCTACAAATGGAATTGCTGGGTCATACAGTATGTTTATTTTAAATGTTTCATAAATATTAACAAGTTGCACTTCATCAACAATGTACAAGAGAGCCCTGGCTGGTGTGGCTCAGCTGGTTGAGTGTTGTCCTGTGCACAGAAGGGTTGCTCTGGGTATGTGCACTGGTTGTGGGCTACATCCCCAGTGCGGGGCGTGCAGGAGGCAGCTGATGGATGTTGCACTCTCACATTGCTGTTTCTTTCTCCCTCTCCCTTCCTTTCTCCCTGAAATCAATAAAAACCCATTTTTTAAAAGACTCTACTATTAAAAAAAATAACAATGTACAAGAGAAACTGTCTTTCACATCATTAAGTATTATCAAAGCTTTTATTTTTAGCCAATTTGGTTGGAGTAAGTGATCGTGTAGTTTGTAGCCCAATGTAGGGACTTTGCTTTTAGCCAGAGTTAATCTGGGGGCCATTAGAGAGGATAAGAATAAAATGTAGAGAGCAAGTATGGAAGCAAACCAGTAAGGAGACCTCTTGGGTAACTGCAACAAGAGATGGTAGTGGCTTGTTCCAGGGTGGAGACACTATAAACAAGATTTGCTAATGTCATGGGCATGAGGAAAGGAGAAGAGTCGAGGACAACTCCAAGCTGTTTGGAGTGACCAGTAGGAAGAAGTTGCCATTAACTGATATGGGGAAATGTTGAACATGTTAAACTTGAGATATCTATTGGACAACAT